GCAAACTTAAATCTACCCTATAGATAAAAACAGGGAACAAATTTTGGCAGCTGAAGTGTATAGATTAGCAAATCCATTGTCACTTCATGTTAAATTTAGCAAGGCGCAAGTTTCATACTCAGCAGAATGGTCAGGATAAATCAGGGGTATTTTCCTGACTTGGTTTACACTGCCGATCCAATTAGTTTCAATCACGTAAAACAATTGGTCGATCATATCGATTACTCTGGTCCGTCTCCTTGAGGATGGAGCGAATAATGAAACTAACTGATGGCTTTATATGTTACTAAACCAGTAGACCTTCTGAAATTTATGAATGAAAGCTAGAAACAACGACCTGGGTGGGTTGAGAAGGCTGAAGAAAGGCTAACGCCACGAATCACAGAGTAAACACGAACGGAATTATCGTGTGATTTAGCGAAATCAAAACGCTGATGATTATTTTAAGGAAGAGAGGAATATAAATGGCTGAACAAGCATTTATTTTCCGTTCATTGTAAGTTAAAAATGATGCATCGGATTAACGGAACATATTCGAACTTCGAAGACCGTAGACGACCCGTGTGCCACTACCACCTCACGTCGATTGCAAAGCGAAACTCGTTTCAAGGTTCGACACGTCTCATCTCAAGCTGTGAATAATTAGGCGTGAATACACATTCATATGGATATAAGCAACCCCCTCGCACTACCACCACCTCCTTGACAAATATATAGATAGATGTATAAATACACACAAGCATTCGCCTGTACGGATGCACATCGCCTAGATCACTTGAGGGACTCGAGTGACGAGGGCACTCCAACATCTGGTTGAAGATTTGGCAAATCTGATATGAATTCTGTCTCGCCAATTTCCGATGTTTCAATAAGTTCGACGTCAAAATGCGTATCTGTGATCGTGGATCTGGTGAACCACGATCGATAGTGACACCGTTTTAGGACAAAATAATGGCCTGGTTTTCGTACACGGAACGCGCAAGCACGCACGCACGTAAATACGTCCGCGCACACCACGCGCACACAATCATGGTCGTGTGTGTGCGCGCTCGCACATCACCAAACTAGTGCATACGCGCAACCGAACAAACGAGGGACAGCAGAGCCAGTGCACTGGTGCGTCAAGGTCATTGACTTGACACACTGCGATGGGAACAGTTGTGTGCAAGGGAAAATATGTCTGTTCAAATCCGGACAGTTGTCCATGAGATTTCTTGCGCCTTCAATGTCCAGTTTGACATAGGACACATCAGACTCATATACAACCATGAACTTTCTCTTCTTCTGATTCTCTTCCCACTGAGTCGGTTCGTCCAACTACACGCCAGATTGGTATGTAACTAGTACAGGTACCATACAGGCCCCACCGAATCGGAACGATCTACCGATGGGTTTACAAACTTTCCATCTATTTCTTCAACATTGCCTAATTCACTGTGGTCAATATGGCCTAATAAACAGGTAGGGGTAGCAATTAATCATTACCCTGGAGACGACCATGTTAAACACACTTATATATTCACGAGGCTGCTTTCGACCGTCTATTGAAGAAGGTGAATGGGTTGCGTTCAGGCGTTTAGATTTGTATATGTAAAGACCTTGCCGATAGCTCAGCTCGAATGTGTCTATGACTGTGGCCCAAAATCCACATATGAAAAATGAACTGTTGATCTAATATTCAGTGTGTGTTTGTGTAATAGGAGGATAAATAGAGTTATGCTTTATTGTTTTTATAATGACCCGAAATAACGTCATCTCTCACTGTGCGCATTTAGGAAACAAATCTAAGATCGGGACAGAAGCAATTAATCCATCCGCATGTGTGCTCCGAGTACTCACCCGATTTCCGGATCATACTGTCGAGTCGACGTTTTGATTTCTAACTGGAGCAAGGCAACCAACTGAAATAGGGAATATTTTCGTAAAATGCTGCAATTAATATCATCATCCGCTAGCATGAGGCTTGATATCTATTTATGCCCCACCTGTCACGATAAGTGTGTCGGAGCACGATCTGCTCAGTTTAGAGCCACAGAAAAACTCTGCATGTAAAGAGTGATTAGTCTAAAGATGTATTAGATACACAATAAATTGTTTTTTGTTTTACGCATCTCAGTGTAATGGGCAGCAGTATAAACCAGAGAACACGCTGTTTTGTTTGGTCACTGTAGTGAAGAACCACGCAAGACCCCCCCAGTAAAACAGGAGCCATGTACAAGATGAATTTGGGTTGCGCCCGCGGAATTCGAACCACATCTGTTAAAAAACCTAGAACACGTTACTGAGTGCGACTTCAGCTGATGCAGTGTCTGATTGACTTGAGAGCCACTTCGCTATGCGTTAGTTACTAAACTAATCGCGATTGCACAAAAACTGGGCATCACTTTGGAGAATAACCATCCTGGTATTTATATGGAACATCATTCAGTACACCTCATTTACTCCGTCAATTCGGAAATATCAGCAGGTAGTCCAAAAACTGGATATAATAATTTTACCTCAATTTCTTGTTGGGTATCAGCTGCGGCACAACTCATTTTCCCAAAATCAGCATGCCGGTATGAACTGTGTAACATGGAGCAGTATATGGCAGCTCACTTGTGGGATGGGCGAAATCAGGCTGGCATTTCATGCTTCGGTGTGGTTTTTAACCAGCTTCGCGATTTCTCTCTCTCTCTTTGCCTCTTTTTCACTGCTTCGGAATCCAAATGTGATTGGCGCGAGTTGACGTCAAGACTAATCGAATTCTAAAATCCTAAACAGCTGTAAATCGACCAGACCCCACGCCCTTTTTCGTGGTATTAAACCGGAGTAACATGAAAAATTCTATTGTCATCTTGCTCAGCGACGGCGGCACGGTTACTGCCAGTACAGTGGTTAGAGCTAGGAGCAAATCGAATGACACACAGTAGCACGTGCACAAACAAAATACGCGTAACACCCACACACCCACGAGAGACAACAGTACCACAGATAAAAATGATAAATCACTTTTCACCATAAACAGGATTCGCGCAGCTTGCGTGAGATACTATCAAAGTAATTTACACAACTGTGACAATTTGGAAAACAAAGCGAAATTAAAAGGAGATCAATAAATGGAGCGCTCTAAAGCACGTTTACATTTATGTCTAATCAATACCCCAATATGATACGGTAAAAAGGTAATGTACTAGCAAGGCTGCCCAAACATGCGATTAACCTGTTAGGTAAGCCTTAATCCCAGTGTATTCTCCAATGTGCGCCCGTGTGTTTGGTTACCGACAATCTGATCGGTCAGTTCAAACTGCTACGTAACCCTCGGTCTATTTGCTTGCATTCCTGTGTGAATACCGCTCGTAGAACACGGATAGGTGGGTGAATGGAATTCCTTCAATTGCGGTTTGTCATACGCTAATCCTCTTCTATTTTGATCTAACTCATGAACAATGAGCCTGATCGGTGTGCTTCTCTATAGGAGCAGATTTTACTTTTCACAGTCATCCCTAAAATATTTGATAACATGCATTCATTGACTCTGCTTGAGAAATCCCTCTCTTTGTGGAAATGCTTTTACTGAAGTATGAGGGCAGTATTCTGAACCTCGCGACAATAACCGGATGGGTGAGCCTCAAGCAACTAGCTCATCCTGGGTAGTTGATAACCGCTACTCGAAGTTACCTATGAGGAAGCACACGAATTAAATGGAGTTGGGGTCACTGGTGTGATTAGGCAATGGAGCGTATTAAGCACTCCCGTCGTGACAGTTCCGACGAAGAATGTGATCCAACAGACAAGGCAGTGGCCTCAAATGGGTTAGGGACTCGAGGAGCTGTCTCGTGCATTGTTTTTGGGGTCAAACTAAAGCGTTGATGAAAAAAGAGAGATTTTTTTAGAACGAGGAATAAAGTCTATCTAATTTAATCTAATATTAGTGATGAAAAATTCAAAAGCTAACTGAAATGTATTCAGATAACTCACTGCCATCTAGTCAACAGAGAACGAAGTTTATTGAAAAGAAACTTCATCCATATTTATTAGGAACACCTTTGTTAGTAATAACATTGATCATTCGGTGTGAAAACATATTGTCGATCAGACCTGATATGTGTCTTTGATAGATTTAGCCTCATAAGCTTGCATGTATTTTCCTCAGTCCTGACAGCTCTTGTGGTCTTGAATTTTTGAAATTTTCTTTCACGTTTATCCCAGAGATGTGCCATGGGATTGACATCAGTCGACCTAGCAAACAAGGGTATGATACAGTTAGTGTAACCGAAAGCGTTGATATCAAGGTATCGGGATATTGTAGTGGTTTTAACTGCTTATTCAATATCCGCAGGTTATTCGAACCAGTCATGGTTCCGTGGATTACAACCAGTAAAAACAATAGCTCTCCAGACAATCACAAATACCCCACCACCTCCCAACGTCGATAGACTCAATCAGTTTGCAGAATCAATCTATCTCGATGCTGTCATTCTTCCATTACTTTAATTTAATTTACTATGGCTGGCTCCTTGGAAAGGATAACCCGGCTCCATGAATATCTCTGATTGCCGCCGTAAAAGACATGATCATGAAGTTACTTCGGGGTTTGGTACGAGAGATGTCCCCAGCGTCACTCGGCCTTTTTTATTTTTATGGCGCACCTTTAGCTTTCGTACAACTAATTGCGGACTGCAAGGCAGCAGGAAGTAATTCCTCGCCTCAGAAGTCAGGGGTTAATGACTTTAGTTTTAAAAGGCCAGTCACATCGACCTTTGTCATGACAACGTCATTGGGCTTATGCGGCTTTTAAACAGGAGCCAGGTGACCAGCGTGA